CACTGCTTTCTCAGCATTCAACTTGATAATGATGTACAGGTCTTTATTAATAATAGATTTTTAAAGTCAAATTCACTTTGCGAAATGTTGAAACAAATTTTATGAAGTCTAACTTGCATTCCCATTGGGATTCCATGTACTCTCTAAAACCCATGAGAAAAATGCAAGATGCAATCGGAGGAATACAACAAGCAGAAGATACGGCAGTCAGTGGGAATGGTTAGAACAACCCTAGGCACAGGTATAGGGTGAATTCACCATGCATCGGACACCCTCGCACTTCAACAAGTTCTAGCGATATCGTTACCGACCGATTATTATCAAAATAGAGCTTAACATGTAGTATGTGGTTAAAATATAAATTTTGAAATAAGTCAGAATTCACCATGGATCGGACAATATTCACCATGCATCGTACATACGATATTTAAACCAGAAAAATATTATACCTTGATCTCGGTGCTTTAAAATTAGTGATTTCGAAACATTTTTGTCTTTTATTTAAAAATTAACCTTCTAATTAAATTTGAATGACTATTTCGATTCACAAATGTGAAGAGATTTTAGTTGCATCACATCGCCTTAGAAAGGCTTTACAATGCTATTAATATGGCAACTCGTGCCTTTGTCCCGTGAGTTATCATCATCTAGTTTAAAGAAATAAATTGAGTCCACTTCTAGTCGTCATATATCGATAATTTGTATTTTCACTGAAAATTTAGAGTTTCTATTTTCTATTTCCATATAAAACAGCTGTCATTTGGGTTTTACATGAAAATGGAAGTGATTACCCATGCATCGGAAAGTGTCCGATGCATGGTTAATTTGTGTCCGATGTACGGTGAAATACACATACCAGTTAAAAACAACTCTAAAAAATATTATACAAACACTGAGGTAAATTTTTTGAAAAATTCCTGTTAAATTATCAATCATTGACAAATTTTACGCAGGTCCGACCCGTTCCGTTGACGTCTATTTAAAAGAACGACAACTCTAAAAATTGCAAAATCGTAAAATTCTGGTTACCTCCCTTCGATGATGCAAAATATGACGTAATTTCAAGGCCATTCTTGTGGTATTTTTATCACATCATGAAAAAAAAAATCGGCATCATTAAATAGTTTAATTCTTCACCTTTAAGACAGAAACAAGTAAAAACACGGGATGACTCAGGTTCAATGACAGTTTATTGCATAAAGTTGTCCGAAGCAAGGTATGTGTCCGATGCATGGTTAACTCACCCTAAATTCGAATTTTTTCAAATATTCATTTTGTATAAAAACTACATGTAAGAAGCTTTTTCAATTAAATTGACATAATTTTTAAATTAAATGATTTTTTTTATATAATACATGTAGACTTAATTGGTCTATATTCAAAGATCACCATGTTAGCATGACATTCCAGATATACATCTTAAATAATATAATTATAATATAAATAATATAATTAAATAATTAAGTAATATTTTTGCATTATAGGAATTTGTGCTTGCTTCAGAAAGCAACTTACTTTGGCAAATCATAACTACAAAGTTTATCAAAAGGAGGAGAATGTTATAGAAGATGTAAGTTTGTATGTAATGAAAAATATACACAAGGCAATTTAATATTTAAAAAAAACATATATTTTTGGTAACGTTGTACACAGTGGCGCATCCAGGAATCTTGAAAAGGGGAAGGGACCAGTTTGGTGTCGGGGTAGGGGCTCAAGGCCACACCAAAAAATTGATTTATTAAATCTGATGTATATTTTGGAAACAAAAGGGGGGGGGCCTCTAAATCCGCCAGTGGTACAGTTTAAAATCTGATTTGGCCAAAAAAGTAGTACCGGTAGGTGGTGGGTAAAAATTAGAGATGGTCGACTTAATGGAAACACATAGAAAAATTTTTTAGCCTAAAAAGAAGTCATATAATTCAGATTCACTGTAAAAGAAGAAAACATATTTAACTGTATTCTCTATTGAGAAGTTGATGGCTCGTTTTAATACTCCCCCTGAGAGGGAGTATTAAAACGAGCCATCAGCTTCTCAATAGAGAATAATTTAACTGCAGCTATAAATACACACTAATAAGATATAAATATAATATACCCATGTAAATGTATGTATTCATGATTGACAATTAGAATGAATTTCTTTAATTTAAAAAAAAATATTTTAAACATATTTTAGATGTACTGGTGCTTTGAAAAAAAGAAGATGAAAAGATACCGGTACATAAAGAGAACCTTTTTTCTTGTGTTTTTATCATCTTTATTTCAACACAAAGGCTAAATACCAGAAGCAGGAGGCAGTTACAAAATTAACTAATGGAGAAAGAAACCTTGCAATTGACCGTGAGAACTGAACATCGGACAGTATCTTAACTGAACAATATTCTTTTGGAGAAGATTCTGTTAGAGCATGGGGACAGTTTTTGGAGTAGGTGATGGTAAATTGTTTCAGTTACTTTTACCTTGCAATTGGGTACACTGAAAATACTGTATGTGTACATAAATTGGCGTATTCAAAATTTAGCGCAATCACTGGGTATGGAGTGGTTGGCATAATCATGAATTAGCGCTACATACGTCTGCGCCATGTATTGTATTTATTAATGGTTTATTTACGGTGTTCATTAATTAGCAAATTGTTGTCTGCGTTCAAGGCGATAAAATATGAAGAACAGGTGCTTGAGGATGGGACCCCCTCCCCCGCGTTCCGTACCCCAAGGGTTCTCCCCAACTTTTTTTAATAGAATATATTTCTATGACTTATTCACAAAGTATTACAATTGAAAAATCCAAAATATAATTTAAGACTAACCTTTTAAAAAAAATCATACTTTCTGATACTAAAAGTTATCTTTTATAAAAATAAATAAAACAATGAACTTCATGTGTATAAACTATAAAAAAAAAAGGTGGATTAACTGGAACCAGATATTTGAAAACATAAACATATAGATAAATTTATGTCATCTACATTATTATTTTAGTATATCTTGTGTATTCATATTTTTTTAATTTCATGTTTATTCCTAAAAATCTGTATGTAACCATTCCAGCCGTGGTGTATCGGTGTTTGTGTATGTGTATGTATGTTTGTTTATGTCTAAAGTCAATTAAAAAAAAAACAAACAAAAAAAAACTTTGGAAATGAGTCATAGAAAAATATTTTATATAAAAAAGGCGGGGAGAACCCTTGGGGTATGGAATGCAGGGGGGGGGGGGGCACGTGATAGGAAGCCTGCTTTTTAAAGTACACATGCAGGAATTCTGAGGCAATTTATTTGGAGGTGTAAATACTAACTTATACTAGCTTAGTATTATATACATTTTAATAAAAATAAATATGCTTATTTACTTGTATTTGTTATCACATGAAAAATGTAGTAGATATTAAACAATTGATTTTTTAATAGTAAATGTACATGTATGTTTTTTTATTCCAGGGGAAAAGATAAAGATGATTATTTCAAGTTTCACTTTTCAAACCCATTTAAAATTCTTCTTGACTGGTCAGACACAACACCACATAATGGCCAACCTCTGATGTAAAGAGAAATCATGGAAACATCAAGCCTACCTGTTTCTATTGTCTACAAAATTGCTATATAGCAGTCATTTTCTACATTTTGTTTATCTCTAAATACACATTTTGGATAATGTTTAGATGTAGATTCTTGCTTGATTAATAATTTGAAGAAAAAAAAAACTGTTTTTAAAAGTAACGATAAAATTATACATATACATATGAATATGTGTATGTTTTTTGATTGTAAGAATATACATTAATGGTTTTATTTTTAATGGGGTGTTAATTTATGGTCAGTCTAAATAATTCTAAATTTCTTTATCCAAATAAAATTGATATCTAAAGATTTGCATCTGGGAACAAGCAAAATTTAAATGGAGGAAATTAACATTAGCTTATCAAATTTCAAACCTGCTAAATTAATATCTACCTACCTATGCATGAAAAAGTAATAATTTATTTTTTTTTTTTTTTTTGGTTGAAAAGTATCATTAGAGTTTTTATCCATTATCTTTTTCCATTTTTTATGTAGTATTTGAAAATGTTGTTTACTGAAATAAGTTCCAGTGAAAAGTTGAATGGCTAATTTTCTTTAGATTTTGAGTTACCTGCCCTTTGTAAAGGATCATAGAGAAACAATAATAATTCATTTAATTTTGTTTTATCTTATTTATTATCTTTAATAATATTTACTTATCATTCCGTTTGACTTATCTATTCGTGAGAAAAATGTTTGGAAAAGAAATTTTATGAAACAACCAGAGTCTAGTAACATTTTGAACAAAATATTATTTGGCAAAATGCCAATTTTCGAAGTTAAAAATACCAAAAACGAAAAAAATCCCCACTCTACTTTTCATAAAAGTTAACTAATATTATTATGGTGTTTCTAAAATTTCAGGTGATTTTTTCTTGAATTGCCTGCATTTCTTGAAAAACTTCCTGAAATATAGGGTAAAAACGACCATTTTCAAAATGTAAGAATTTGGTCATCTTTGAGCCATCAATTGAAGAATTTGCAGTGACTTGTAGAATTTTTTTTAATTGTGTTATATAGTGCTTCATTTGTTCTATTCATGTAATGTATGAATTATCTCAAAATAATAAAGATAATTAAACCACATGAAATCAAGTATATAGCATTTTTATGCTTGAATTGAGAGTAAATGGGGCAAAAATCTATATTAGCCCGTTACCATGGCAACCAAGGTAGTAACCCTAATTTTGAGTGTTGATTATGTCATAATGTATGGGCATTAACCACCTGAAAAAGTTTCATGAAAATCGCTCATGGTGTGTGCCACAGCCCTACAGTAAAATTTTGGTCCTTACAGAGAATTGATGTTAATCAGTGCAGGTAAGAACAAAATGTTTCTGTCTCTTAACAAAATTTCCTAATATTAATGTTTGTCCATTACAGCGTTAGTAATTCCGGTTACTTTCTATCTTTGCTGATTTGTGAAGTTCTGACTGTTCAAGCATGGGAAGTCGCAGCTCGACCTTTGAAGGTCAGCTTCTATCTGTATTATTCTACATATATGTACTTAACATCGATAATTCCCTTATGATAATTTCTGTGTCTTGGGAAAAAAAATACCAGTGTATATTAGTATATTTTTCTTTCCATTTTCTATACCGATGCAGATTGCAATGAATATAAAAAATAAATAAATAAATCAAAGGCATGTGTAAATAAATCGATTTGTTTAAAAGGACTTTCCAAATTTTGTCTTATTGTTTGTCTTGATGTTTTCTCTAGCTCAAGAGAGAAATGACAACCAGTGTCCCTTTTCTGAGAAGTGGAAAAATGAGCTTGGTTCGATATTATCAATTACATGCAAGGGAGAAAGCATCGTAGGTAAATATAACAGAGCCGTCGGAAAGGCTGAACACGATTACCATCTTGCAGGAAAGTATGAACTGCTAAAAGGGGATGACTGCATGTTGGGATGGTCTGTAGCTTGGAAAAATCAATATAAAGATGCAAAGTCTGTCACCAGCTGGACAGGGGTTTATTATAAGAAGGATGACAAAATCAAGACTCAGTGGGTTCTTGGTGCTTACAAAGAACCTAACGATTACTGGAACACTTTCAACACCAATCAGGACGTATTTAGCAGAGTTAAATAGTGCTCGATTTCATGGGTGGATGGGTTTTTTTTTCTTTTGAGATACGTATATATCTTTTATTCAAACAATTTTTATCTTGTGGAATTAATGGTTATTTAAGATTCGGAGATGGATTATACGCTCCATCTACTTGTAATTGTATTGCATCAACATAGTAATGTGTAAATCGAAATTAAAAAAAAAATCAGTATTTTCCTGGCGGCATGTGAGAATGGATTGTTGCAAAAAAGTCATATGGGGGACACTATTTTGAAATCTTTGTGTTCTCATCTCAGTTACTTTTTTAGTGCTGTGCAAGTCAAAACATATCAGAATGTTATAAAGTTACCTATACATGTATTTTTTTTTTACAAAAAAAAAATGTGTTGCAATACTAGGTATCGAAACCTGTGATTCCTCTATGACACTGAGGCGATGTCAAAAGGGAGTATTAAAAAAATGACTGTATGCAGTGAAGAGTAATAGAAATTATTATTTCAACAGTTTTTATATTGATATACCTTTAAATTAGTGAGAAATTTTGATTAAATGATTTTGCATATCATAGATATAATAAGGAACAAGATCAACTGTACTGCTAGACATTATAAAGACTTTCCGATAGATAGTTTACAGACGGTTTCACAAAAGTTCCGGATTTACAATTATTCAATTTCACACACTGACAAACACAAAAATGCGAACGATTCTTGTATTGATGCCTTCTACAACACCTCTCACTGAATTATCAAATGTCATTTAAATCTCCCGGATATACTTTTAATAGCTGTGTACTTCTTGTATTTACTAGATGTATGGTTATGACTTGAGATATTCGGAGAAAAAATAACTTTTTTCAAAAAAAGATGAATAGCTTCCGTGATCTAAATAAAAATGAATCAATGATATCTTATAATATCAAAATCAAAGTTAATGTTTGATAAACTAGGTCACTTTCAACTTAATAAGTTTTGTGACTTTTAAGTTCTATTCACATTGCATTCATGTTTCAAAATTTCCTTCTAATATACAGCATGACTTTGTGAATACCTAATGGTCCTATGCTAAGATGAAAGGGTAGTTTTTTTTTTTTTTTATTTGGACAACAACATAAACATTTTGAATGTTTTCAGTAATAAATGTCTTTTTATAATATACTCGTACATACATTTTCCTTTAAACAACTTAACTTGTAATAATTTTGTTAAGGTGCTGTTAAAGTATATGCTACTTGCCCTCCAGAGTCATAGAAAGGGCCGACAGGTAATTTGTATCTATTGCATTACTTTTTAAGATTAATTAAGGATAAGCACTGCCTTATTCATATGACTTTTCTTTTCTTCGTTGCAATTAACAGATTTAGATATCGTAGGTCATGTTTTCAATTACGATTTTACACCGATCATTTTCAAGTATGAGACATATTTGACCGAATGTTTTATAAAATTAAACTTTCATTTAATTATTTTAAAAGGAAAAAAAAAACATACAGCGAATATACACGTAATGATGGTAAAACCGTTCGGCCAACTAGAATTCATTAGAAGAAATCATGCATGTAACTGTTGCTTTTCTGTTTGACATCAACGTACAACTATCCATCTTTCTGTACTAAAGATGCGTAATGGATTACAATCATTATGGTATTTTAGATTAAGCTGTACCTCAGACAGAGGGGAATTCAACGTATCGTGCTGATTAATTCCAAAATTTCCTTTTTTTTCCTTCATTTTTTACCGTTTATCTTTTTATTTTGCAACTTTCAATGATGATTTTGGACAAAAATTCTCTTACAGGCATGAGGAAATTATTTAAATTTCCAGAAGTATTCGATGCGGTTGACATAATTTTTAGTTTCTGTAAATTAATCAACACCAAACGCAGGATGAGGTGTATTAATCGAAGGTACTTGAAAGCTTGAGGTTTGCAGATGCATGCATTTCTATTTGTCATTCCAAGCCGATTCTCATGTATCGATCTTCATTTTACTTGCACAGGTCTCTCTCTCTCTGTGTGTGTGTGTGTGTGTGCGTGTGTGTGTGTGGGTGTGTGTAAGTTTGTAAAGCGTTTTCCAAAGAGATCGATTGTTATTCAAAGACAACATTTGTCAGTGCTTGAAATGAGAGAAATGCACTGTCGTAGTCCTGTACTTCTGTTAATCATACAGATGATCTTTTATAGCACACATTTATCCAGAAAAGGAAAAATCTTTTATGAATATAAAGAAAATCCATTGACAAATTTATATATAATTTAAATGAAGATTTTTATTTAGAGTGATGAAATATATGGAGAAAACAAAAGGTATTCAAGCTCAAAAATCCATTAAACAATACAAAATAGGAGTAAGCAAACACGGACCTCCAAACATCAGAGGTGGGATTAGGTGCCATGGAGGAGTGAGCATCCCCTGCCGACCGGTCAGACCCGCCGTGTGCTCCTTGTCATGATCGGGAAATAACGAAAAAATCAGTCGATAATTCAGTATGTAAATAATGGCCTAACAATTAGTATGAAAAACGTCAGTCAGCATTTGACTCAATGATAAATTGTATTTGCTGACAAGGTCATTGTATCGACCATAGAACTTACGAAATGATGACTTTAAACGAGACTGCTGATATTCTTGTTTCATCAACTTGTTTGTCAATAATTTACCTCGTTTTAGAAATTGTACATACGTAGAACATGCTCGTACGTATCGAATCAACTGAGAGATATAAACCCCGTATGAAAGTGATGAAGGTATATATAAATTCACACAGCAGCAATCACGATTTGTGAAGAATCTATAAATGTCTTCTTAATCAACACATTTTACTGAATAATCTTTTCTTGAAATCAGCTGCAGGAGTGGTGGGGCCAAAAAATTGGGTTAGATTTTTTTGAGAATTAAGTGGGATAATCTCTTGAAAATATGAAGAACACCAAGGCTAAAGTAATTCGAGTGAACACTGTGGGACACTGGACTCTTGTTTAAAATGCACATTTTCATTCCACCTGCAGAATTTTAGCATCTTATTTGCTACTGTTTTTAAAGAGAAAAATGTTTTTTCTAACATTTATTTCCTTGTGTTACCTTTAATATATGTGGGCTTTCATCTAAACTGCTATTTTTAGAACTTTAATTCTATTTTTATCGGCCACAGGAGCGGCCGATGTATTTGTGGTTGTGTTAGAAAGTGCGCATGGGGAAATGAAGCGTTATTTCTATATTAGTTTGGTAAAATAATTCATCAATGAAAACATGTATAAAAATTATGAGTTAACGAGGTTGGATCCTGATATTTAAAGTCTTAAACTTTTTTTGTCAAGTATATTTTTAGTTTCTACACAGATAGCTTAATTAAAAATCAAAACCAAAAATGGGGGTCAATATGCTTCTTTTGGCGCTAGAGTACATTTAATATGACCTTTTTGCACTGAAATTTGTGTCTTAATCAAAATCACATCTTTGACGTTTTTCTCCAATGATTTTATTCAAACAAATCATGGAACAAAATAAATTATTAGTATATTAGATAAAGACACTTTAAGACTGTGACTAAGAAAAAGTTTCAAATTGCTACGCATAATCAATTATTTGACCTTTCTGCACTCAAAAAATGTGATTTTTCTGTCATTAGAAATTTAACAAGCAAGAAAATTATTTTAAAGTCTTAAACTTTTGCTGAATTTAGGTAGATTGATCAAAGTTATCTTATATATTCAGAAAAGAAAAACAAAAGTGGGGGTCTATGATGTAAATTTTTAGATATTACTAAAAAAGTATTAATTTTATGTTAAAAATGGCTGAATATTTTCCTGGACTTTCAGAATATATTTACTATATTTGTCACATTATAATGAAAGAATTCATAAAAAATAATTTAATAGGTATTTCAGAACCAGCATAAAACATTTCACTGCAAAAAACAGTTCTGTGTGCAACCAGCATGGAAAAATAGGAATCTAAACTTAACAGTACTGTATATATTTCAAAAGGGAAAAATTGATCATTTTCTCCTAAAAAAAAAAAACCTTCTACCATAAAATATAGTTCATTGCTAAATCCTATCTGAATGGAATTTAATCGCGGTTTTTTCATTGGAAATAGTTTAATTTGCATTGTAGAATCCATATTTAATGTTTGAACTTAGAAATGATGCAGAATTTTATAAATAAAGGTCCAGACCAAAATCTGCCCAAAAGCTCAGGATCGAACCTCCTTAAATATTTTAAAATCTTGCTTTAAAAAAGTCTTAATTGTTGTTATTATGTATTAATTCAATTATTTTTTTTTTCATCAGATAATTATTAATTTATGATTATATAAGAAGAGTTTACAATAGGTACTCCCGGACATGGGACTGTGTAAGATATGAACACAAATCGTTATGATTTTCCGGTTAATAATTACAGTGGTAAAAGTGATGAATAAAAAATGAAATGTTGGTAAAACTAGAAAAAATGTTTTGAATATGCTACAGCTGCGAATGATACAAGATATTATTTACACTTCGTATTTTATTGTGTTGTCCATCACCGCGCCGTGCTGCATACTCTGCAGAAATCATCGGCATCATCACGTGACAAAAGATCAGGGTATCAGAACGTGGTTTATCTGGAAATATGATTATAAATAGACCTATATCTTCATTTTTCATGACACTTTGTCATCATTTATTTGTACATTGTATCACTGATTTCATATCGATGAATCAATTTGATGAAAAAAAAAGCTCTGAAATTCCTTCTTTTTTTCTTGCAATCCTTGCTCTTTTTTTCTTTTTTTTTGGGGGGGGGGGGGGCAGCCTGAAATAAAAATGTTCACTCTTTCCGCTTTGACTATCTTGCGCTATCCTTAAAAGCTTAATTGTGAAAATACTTTTTTTAAAATGCTACATTTTGTTTGCGGCCGATTTGATGCTTTGCATCAATTTTACTTGTTAACATACATGTATTTTATGTTTTACTACCTTTATGGCTAACATTTTATAATTGCACTGACATGTATGCATTGAAAGAATTGTACCAATTAC